ATCAGGAGTGAATTATAATATTATTATTCACTCCTGATGACATGTGTAAGAAATGACTCATTGGTCGTCCCTGCTGACAGGATGGCCTGTACGTTAGTGTGGTGGTGTCTGCTCAAAATGAGCAAATACTTTTTAAACCTAAAAGTTATAGGACCCTAAAAATCAGTAAGTTATTAATAACCGATGTGAAACCATGCATGCAGAGAAATTGCTTTCCCTGAAGAAGTCTGCCTCCTGTTTTACGTTGTCTTATGCTAGTACTTATGCACAGCACGGCATAACAGAGCACAACACGTACGGATTCATTACACATATAAATCACCATACATTTTTCTGGTATTCTGAATATTTTTCATAATAATTACAGTGTGTGTGAGAAATAATGACCAAATCCTTATTACTTTTGTTTGGAATTTTTTTGGAGCACGTCAAATTCAGAACTGTTCACTGCTTATCTATATATAGCTTATGCTATATAGTGCTGATCTATAATTATAATTTTGTCAAAGCAACTATTAATTACAGCCCCGTGTACACAGCATTGCTTTAATCTGTTTTATATTAAGTACACTTGTATGCACCTGTTTGAACGAAAATTACCTCAACATCCATAACAATTAACATATGGAACATTCATAATAGAATATACCAAATAATGAATGCTCTTAAAAATATGCTAAAATTTTTGCGAATTTTATTATATGCTCACCAAACTGGGAAGAATTCTAGTTGCAGGAGTAAAATTGAGTTTTGGTTAAGGCTGCCCAACAAACTCCCTGTCTACAAAAAGGGCGTCCGCAGTAAAATGCTCTAGCCTTAAGTTTAAGTCAGACGTACTCTCAGTTATGCTCTCTCTTCAATTCAACGTTTGTTTGTTTGTTCGTGTGGATTTTTGATTATACGCGACACCCGAGTCGACTCTCCTCCCTGGAATTGTACAGATTAATTTTCCAACACATGTAGTAGTACCAGGTCAGCTTTTACTATTGACTGACTCCATTTTTATGTTTTAAGTCCTCCACCGACTATCGACATTATTAGTCACTTGGAAACGCCCACGGTAGTGGATTTTTTCTTGACTAAGATGTAAGAATTTAGAGCGTACGTAGCTGCATGCATTTTGCGTACGTGGCATTCGCCTAATTGCAATTCAAGTCCGGTAGTCACGTTTTCTCACTGCTGTAGGAATCGGGAGAGTGCTATATGATCAGAAGATGCGTGCTCGTGTTAAAGTGGGTGTAGTCTCTTAAGTATGTAATGGCTTTTGCGTGTATTTTGTGCTGGCTGTACAGTTTCATTCATGTCCGTTCCTATCGAGCTTCCTCCGACCAACTCTTTCTAAGTAATGTGAGCTTGCTGATTCGAGGAAGGTTGCCAACAGACAACCCTGCTCATACTTGTATATACGTATATATATATATATATATATATACGCGCGCTCACACTCATGCACGCGTTCAGGTTGCCTGCGGCAACTGAACGCTGGCTATAGTACTAGTGCTACCTCCTACCATGCTTTTGAATTTTTCCCACAAGGAGTCCGATTTTCTTCAAATAAATACCGTCACTGAGTTTGCAATACGTAGAATGCGGGTTTTTTGTGGTTATTAGCTGGGCACGTCTCATCCCATGCAGTCTCTTTGTATATTTCACCGATGCAATGCACGCAGCTGCAAATTGCCTTCGTTTTCTAGTAATAACAGTAGTATCAAAGAGAAGGAATCATTTTGCCGATATCATTATTACTATGTTTTTAATGCACTGTTAGTATTTTTATAAAAGGTACCTTCATCATAGAACACGGGAATGACAAAGTTTCGTATTTGATTTTGCACGAGGAGTGATATAACAAAACTGCATCCCCTGTAGGGTGGGTGGGTAGGGTAGGGTTTGGCTGATAATTTATGGTTTCTGCGCCAAAATATTGATCAATCTCCAGTACAACACATAAAGACAAAAGTGAATTTGCTTTAAATGTTGATTAGATTTAGACCTAACAAAAAATAGTTCCATCTGACTCGATCGCCATATCCCATATATATGGCTGCTTCCCTACAGTATGTATATGATACATGATATATGTATTACCGAAATTATCTCACCATAAGTGATATGCCATGGATTGCATAGAGGGACATATATATATGCACCCTATATATATTAGCCAGCCATCAAGGCTTTGAGTACATCCGTGTAAGAGTCTAGCACACTATAGAGCACATTATTTATTATTAGCAATTACGGTGATACATGAATTCCACTACATGTAAAATTGTTTATGCAATCTCCTCTATTCAGTCTACCATATATAAATATATATATATATATAATATATATATAATATACTGAATCTGATATGGATGGTTAATGATTAATGCTAAGATCTATCTTATTCATAATTGGGGATTTTAATAGCCTCTTAGGCACATAAAATTCCTAACTACTTCATTTTTCCACTTTCATTTTTCTTTATTTTGCCTCACACACTGTTTCCCTCTTTACCTCTCATACCTTTCTCATCGTCCTCTACTATACTTTCGTTAGCTCGCTCCCTTCCCCCCTCTCTACTTATATATATGTGCGTGTGTGTGGTGGTATTGTGTGTGTGGTGTGTGTGTGGTGTGTGTGTGCGTGCGTGCCGTGCGTGCGTGCGTGCGTGCGTGCGTGGGTGCGTGCGTGCGTGCGTGCGTGCGTGCGTGTGCGTGTCTTTCTGTGTGTGTATAATCTTTAGAAACCAATTCTATATCTTTTCACGAAATTCTCTGTGGAGGTCATTGTTAAATGTGTGTTTAGTGGCCTCTGGTTTAATTGTTATTCTTCGTCTAAGACTCACAGTTACCTGGTATATATTTGTATGCGTATCTCGCGGAGCCACCTGACAATTCCCATGTTAATAGTTCCTATACATCTAATAGTGACATCCGTTAGTGGATGCAGCATGTATTATGTCATAAATGTAACTGTGCCTGTGATTGACATCAAAGTTGTCGGCATATTTGCAAAATGGCTCCCTATGCTCTTGACGATATGCTAACTTCTTTTGATATTATTTCGATTAAAATACAAAAACAACATTTAACATGCCTAATGGCAAGGCTGCATGCTGAAGTGGCACAGATTACAGAAATGACCATAGTTCTATATATTGAATGGGTTATAGCTGGTAAGGGCAAGGTACAGATCAAGGTGTGCTCGCTGTTGTGCACGAGTAAATACTGTTCATATCTCACTCTATACACAAGTTCCTTGTTTACCCCGGGTTCACAAGCGGTATTTAGCAGATATGGCAAATATGTGACGCATTGCACGCGGACTCACATCCTTAAAAAGCCCTACATGTATATTAAGCATCGGGCCTGTCTTTTCTCAGCAGCGTTACGCGTGTGCACTGCGTATATAGGTCTGTGAAACTCGAGGCGTCATGAGGACCCCGTTCTTCGTGAAAGGTGCATGACACGAACACTGTTTTTTTTCATGCGAATCAGTGAATTTTTTTGAGGTTTGACTTTTATGAAGCGTTTCGTGGATTGTTTGCTGGACTGGGTGTTGTGGCGGATGTAGCTCTCCTGCCATATATTTTACTATCTGTATCTCGCAGAAGAGCGAGTGCAAGAAATTGTTGTCAACCTCAGCGTACACTAGTGTGTGACATTGCTTGAGTTATATGGTGTCTTGATATTAGTGGGCATTGCTTAGAGGTCGATAGACATTTACGGTGAGACCTTTGTGTGACACTAGTGATTGTGGCCAGGTATGATATTAAAATGCATGCACGGTATCGCCATGCGGATCAAGCGACCTATGCATTGCCATTTAGATTTTCATTCGGCGACTAAAAATGTATCACAAGTAAGTCTGTCTCTTATTGAAAGGCATCGGGCCCATTTCACCTTGCACTATCGAATTGCAAGATTTCGTTAAAATAGACTGCCTGAACATCATTGCAGTGAATCTTGACAGTGTGTGTATAATAAAGTGTGTGAGTAATCAAGAGTACTGTCTAATTGGGAGTCTTTTAGCATGCAGTGTGTAGGACGACTTTCGAGGAGGTAGAGGCGGGGTTTTAGGTGAATTATTATGTGAGGTTGGTGGCTTTAAATGTCAGTCATAAAATAGAGTGAATGTAGCAGTTTAATAGAGTGGGTGGACTGGTACAGCAGCTGGCATGCATCACTAATATGCATGCATGTAATGCGTTATTATAGCTTGTATCCATATAGTTACTGTGTTATTCAACAGATTTCATTCGTGAAATCACCTTGCTATTTTTACGGATGACATGGTCTATATGGGGTCTTTTTCCTTCGGTCCGCATGCATTTATTTCATGCCAAATGAAACGAAAAAAATGAATAAAAAACTGCCCTTGTAGCGTAGCTTTTGAAGTGCCACTCTTTTGTTGTACCTAGATGCAACAAAAATGTAGAGTTGAATCTCGGTCGCAGGCAAGCGTTCGTTCGTGAGTACTAACAGTAGAGCATTTATGTACACTATGTATTGTAGAATGTTCTGGGTTGAATACAAGTCGACTTGTGCACGCCTGTATGAACAGAACTACGTGGACTTCCTATAATTACTAACTAGTGTGTAATGGCCAATCGACATTGACGTAGCATTGCCAGAATATGGTGCCTAATTATTTGATCAGCAATATAATCAGGACTCCAGGAGTCTATCTCCTGATATAATGACAAAACAATGCAAAAGTAGGATGACTTTAAACAAAGGTTACGTGCATATGCAGGGCTTCCACTGGCGTTCGCCACATTTGCAAAATGGGATTAATAAATATCGGGCGACAGTGTAATCGGAAACGTACGAACATTCAAATACAATCGAGAGCTCACGCAAGGACATCTAGGTTTTAGGAAATTCCCGCGAGACGTAACAGGATCGCGAGGAAATTAATTGCAAATCATCTCTAAAAGCATCCTCTAGAAACGAAGCCATTTGGGTGTGCTCGCTTGATCTTTGCACGGCTGCTTCATTAATCCGCCGCAGTTGCCCTTCTTCCAGAGGTGGCGCAAGCGTTGGTTCGTGCTGCGCCACTCGGGCAACCTGCCTGGCCAGTACGTGCTTGAGTACTTCACCAACCCCTCCTGCAAGAAGCTGAAGGGCTGCATTGACCTTGATCAGTGCCAGCAAGTTGACGCTGGCCTGCGGTTTGAGAAGGGGAAGCAGGACTTCAAGTACATATTCGACATCAAGACAAACAACAGGTAGGGTGGACCTGTAGTTACGTTGATGCTAACCCTGACCATGTTCAACGCTTGTCATTCTGCGTTGTTCTTCCTATGCTAATCTACCCATGTAAATATGGACCCATGACAATCTGCATAGGTGTAGACTTGATCATCTCTGTGTACATGTTGCAGGAAATAAAACGTTCTTTAACCTAAAACCAGATCGGGTGCCCAGCGTTCATGCCTAATATGGTTGTAATTGGCCTTTAGGTTTAGGAGGAGATCCAGCACCCAGGCGTAGACGTTGCGTTTATAGTAAATTTACTATAAAAATTAAAAAATGGGATGACTAGACTTACAATATTCATATTGTAAGTCTAGTCATCCCATTTTACTTAGACTACATTGACTTGCACTTGTTGATCAGCTGTTGGCCTGATATACTAGTAAGGATGCTAGGAATTCGGCATTAGATTTTCTCGTCCCTTTCTACCTATTTATGTCTTCATGACAACAGTTAACATGATGTTGTGTCATCTGCCTACACGATTATTTACCCTGCGCCCAATTAGCCACATAGCAGCGGCTGTATCATCTTGCATTGATTGCCTTATTAATTCCCATTAATATGCAATTAATGGACAGAAGCCATAGGCTGTAGCTAAGTGAGGAATTCAGGATATCTACGTTGGTCTTGTATATATCTATAGTTGTAATTTTAGCAGATTATATCACTTATCGTCACGTCCAGTGACACACCGATTATCAGATCTACCCAGGGGAGCTTGTCTCACACTGGCAGTTTTATTACATTATCAAATTAGTTAGCATTTTGCAGAAGTTGGCTGCAAGACTATCTGCTAAATTGTACATTGTTTCAAGAGTAACACGGTGTTAGGTGTGTGTGCGTGCGTGTGTGTGTGTGTGCGTGCGTGCGTGCGTGCGTGCGTGCGTGCGTGCGTGCGTGCGTGCGTGTGTGTGGTTTGTTATTACCTCCGCGCAAACGGAGGTCATGCAATCGCTCGCGTGTGTGTGTGTGTGTGTGTAGCCACCGCGCGATCGATAGCGCGTCGAGTCAGCAGCAGCCACCAGTGAGCGGCGAGTCAGCAGCAGGCGAGTCAGTCAGCAGCCACCACCAGCGAGCACATACATGTTACATGCTCGCGGAGGTATGCACTCTCCGTGAGTGCCCTCTGTCTAGTTGCGAATTGCATTTGTGTTGTGCATTCACGCTTTCTGAAAGGGCATTGTTGACTTGTAGTGTAGCATTTAAAAGTTGAGTATAAACATTTTTATACTTCACTTCTATGAACCATGTAAACATAAAACAGTATTACTGATAATAGCACTACCGCGTTGATGGAGATAAACACCGAACAATAAACTGTTAGAAATGGATGGTAAACTGATGCATTTTGTAAACGAATAACTTGCCGACCTTTCACACATACTCAGGTGAGGTCGTACAACCCGATGGCCGTGTGGCATTATATATGTGCTACACACAAACAAGCTCAACAAGATACAGTGCCTAGTAGTAGAAAGAACTGGGCCGAACTTGCTTGGTCGTGATTGCCTATAGATCAAATGTCAGGGAGGACTTTGCCAGGCGCTGTTCAAACCAGGCCTTAGCAAGCTCGTGAACAACGAGGCTGAGCTGTACATCGATGATAATGTAACACCACGATGGTTGAAACCCTCTACTGTAGCACTTGCTCTGAGGAATAATGTGGAAGCTCAACTTGACAAGCTGAGTGCAGAATGAGTTTTGAGGCTGTCAGAGATTTCAGAGTGGGCTGCACCAATCGTGTCTGTCTTGAAGCACAGTGGTGAAGTATGTACATATATATGGTGACTACAAGTTGATAATGACGATCATTGCTGCCGTGAAGGTCGACTGTTATCCAATCCACAACATTAGAGGATCTTTACTTTTTAGCTAACTAGTGATGCTTACTATTCGAAGCGAAACCTTAGCCATGCTTACCTGCAGATGTGCCGTCACAAGGACTTGTAGAAGCTTGTTCGGCGATTACCACCAATAACAGGCTATTAGCCTACAGACGACAGTGTTATGGCAATTCATCATCTCCCGGGATTTTCCAGCGAAGCGTGGAGATGATTGTTCAAGGCATTTCCGATGATCGCTGTCTATCTGGATGACATACTAGTGTTGGGGCGCACTCGAAAGGAGGCCTACCTCTACAAAATATTAAAGCGACTACAACCTGCCAGCGTTACTTGTCTGTGTATAACAGCGTAGTGCACGTTTCTGGAGTTTCACGTCTTTTTACAGTGGTAAGGAGCGAAGTGATCTGAGGGTTAGGAAGGTGTGTTAATATTGAGACTATGAGTCATTGTTCCACCACAAGACAGTGACCTAATGTTGCAGGAGCCGCGTGAAACCCACCCAGGAATTAGGAAGATGAAAAGCTTAGCACGCAGCTACGTCTGGTGGCCGGGAATAGATGCTGATATAGGATAACAGGTGAAAGACTGTGATACATGTTAGATCCATCACCAGCTGCTACCATCCGCGCCACTGCACCCATGCGAGTGGCAAGGGCAGCCATTGCATCGCGCTCACATTGACTACACAGGACCGTTTGAGGGACGGATATTTCTTGTTGATGTCGGTGTGCACAGTAGATATATCGATGCCCATGCGGTAACAGCTGCACGAACTAGTACCACACTCACTAACCTCCAACAGGCATTCGCAACCTTAGGACTAACGGTCACGCGGTCGTTTTGGACAATAGTTACTTAGTACATGCTTTACCAGTGAGGAAGCTCAAGAAATTTTACAAAATAAACGGTATTAAGCACACTACATGTTCCACATACCACCCAGCCAGTAACGGGTTAGCGGAGAGAGCCATGCAAACAGTGAAGATGGGAATCAAGAAATTTCAGGGGAACCTAAAGGACCGTCTGTATCGTTTCTTAATTATCTAGGTACCGAGTATCACCACAGACGGCCGTGGGCCAATTAAGCGCCAGCAGAACTATTGCATATTGGTGAACATTATGCAATGTGTACTGGTAAGTATCAGGATGGTTGAGAAAATATGAAAACGGTTGGTAAAAACATGAGAAATCCTCGCTTTAAGAGAAGACCGAGAACCAGGTTGAATCTCCTACTGCCATGCTGTGGCTCGGACATTCTGTGTGGACAATACAGTGTGGACTGTCAACTGTCAAGGGACTCCGAAATGGTTGCCGGATTGATAGAGCAAAAGCAGGGACCGGTAACGGTAGAAGTGAAACTGGAGGATGGCCGTGTTTGGCATAGAGATCGAGATACTCTGAGCAGACATCCAAGGCAGAGTTAGCAGCCACCACAATTAGTGAACGAGGTGCTGCTGCCACGACCGTCACTTGGTTCAATTCCAGGACAAGCATATATGAAAGCAGGAAGTGTAGGGACGGAGGAAAAAGTTGCCGAACAAATCTGTCTAGACCCTGTTGCTGAGAATGTAGCTATCTCAAGTCCTGTCGTGGTGCCGCTATTCTGGTCTGGTAGTAAATCCTCCAGACAGGTTCAATCTGTAGTCGCAGGTCAGCGATTTTATAATTGTAATGTCGCGCGTGTGAGTTATGCTGTTTGCTACGGAAGGATGCAAAATGGCAATAACAAACAATAGGCAGCACATGTTTATTGCATTTTTCTAGTGACTCCGGATATCCCCATATAGCTTGGTTTCCAATCATTCATGTCTACCCATGTTTGTCTACCTATGACTGTCTGTCCATGACTGTCTGGTCATGACTGTCTGTCCATGACTGTCTACCTATGTCTGTCTGTCCATGTCTGTCTGACCATGTCTGTCTGTCCATGTCTGTCTGACCATGACTGTCTACCCATGACTGTCTGTCCATGACTGTCTGGTCATGACTGTCTGTCCATGACTGTCTACCTATGTCTGTCTGTCCATGTCTGTCTGACCCTGTCTGTCTG